CATAGCACACTGGACACAAATATCTCAGTGAGCCTGGCTCACTGAGATATTTGTGTCCAGTGTGCTATGGGTCTGGAACCCAGGCTATGTTCGTCAGAGTGGTTGTCTGACATTCCATCGCCGCAGTGGAGGTCACACAGCTGACCTCTGCCACACTCCCCGCCTGTCCGCTTAACGGGAGACATGATCTCACTCTGTGTACTTGACAAATTTAACCCCTCATTTCCTCCAAACTCCACAAATAGATCAGTTCGTCACTTTTTGGTTCATCAAAATTCTTTTAGTGTGAATGTGTGACTGTTTGTTGATGTGTATCTGTGTAAATGGACGTTGTTTTGAATTATTTTGATCGTGATGTTTATTCCTCCCGTTAACAGGAGGCACCCGTCACTTGCTCAGTTTCCAGCGGGACGGCCGTGGCGACCGGCCGCGGTATTTGTACAATTGTTCCTCCCTCTACCGTTCACCAAGGCTGACGGGGTCTAGGATTGTACAGGCGTGTTGACAACGCTGAAAAGTCGCCTTCCTGTGGTGCAGAAAGACTTAGGAGGAACGCTGGGCGTCTTCGAGACAGGAAAAACACACAAGAAACTTGAGCGTTGGGGTAGCGGAGCACAAGCGATGACTGGACCGTATTACACACGAGTTATCGGAGAGAGGTGATATGCGATGCTATGCAAGCCCTCGCTCGGAGACAAGTCATTGGGAAATTATAACCGTCAACATGGTGCTGGATTTTCTGTGGGATACCGACGTTACCAAATCTAGAAGGGTACAAGAAATAAGGACAACTGAGAGCGTGTGAGAGTTTGTGTTTTCAAGAATTTGTTCACGGACTGAAAAATCATCAAGCGTTACTTGGAGACAAAAAATGGGCGATTTGACAGTGGTGGAAGTGTACGAAGCAGGAGGTTGTAGTATGGACTTCACGGATCACGATGTGCTGCAAATAGAGAGTGCGTTTCGCAGCTACAAGACAGAGGTGTACGTGTGCGCTGGACTCGCCAATCTATACTTTGCCAGCGTCCAAGACATGGCCGACATGCAGGTATGTAAAGTCTTCACTGTCTACTGATAGCAAGGCTTGAAAAAACATGGTAAAAAGATAATAAATTCTACAAAATTATGCTGCCAAGATTTACAATAGTAACGTTTCGCATTGGCTGTAAAATGATGAGATATTTGCTTGTTTTGTTTTCGTGTCGCGATAGGCTAAATTACAGTGTTGAGACAGTTACTCGATTTGAATGGCATTTGGGTATGCTGGCCGCAACGGGCGGTATATGGTATACATGGTATCGGTAACGTATGTACAAGATATCAACTAACATTTGTGGTTTTGTGTGCGTTTTGTAGCATCTTTTCAGAAATGCGAATAAACAAATTATGAGCCAGAGTACTACGGGACGTATTGATAGATACGTGTTAGATGGACATGTGTTAAAGATGACAGTTTGGAACTGTTCAGTAGTACTTACAATGCGGCCAGGCATTCTATGGTCTGTCGGACATGTAAAGTATGTTGGACGGTTGTATGTCTCTGTCATTCGTGCGGGGGACCAGACAGGTCGATCGGGGTACAAACCTACAAACCGTGCGCATGGATTAGTCCATAAGGGTACTTACCCACTTTTAGAGGGGTCTCGTGTTTCGGGGATAGGTTTCAGAACTGCTGTGAAGTGCACGGTCAAGTGTGACCGTAAGAGGCTGTGTAGAGGGGTGTTTGTGTGACTTTCTGTACACCGTAGGCGTATGACTGTTGCAGGGCCTACACAGGATATCTTTACGGCCTAAAGAGCCATCAAGCCCCAAAGAAACTTTGTGTTGCTCACGGTCTACCTCGGGAGGGCAGGCAAGTTTCCTTGGGGGCATGTTAGCCCTGGAGCCGAGGAGCTGTCCTGTGTAGGCCCTCAGACAACAGTCGTGGGGTAAGCCTGTTGTCAGGGCCTACACAGGCCAGCTTCTCGGCCTAAAGAGCCAACAAGCCCCAAGGAAACTTTGCGTAGCTCACGGTCTTCCTCAGGGGGACAGGCAAGTTTTCCTGGGGACATGTTAGCCCTGGAGCCGAGGAGCTGTCCTGTGTAGGCCCTCAGACAGACAACAGTCGTGGGGTCTATCTAATCTGCACGCGTGCTGTTGTGTATGGATTGGTCACGCGGGTGTACACATGTTGCACTGGGGATTGAGTTCACGGGGCTGATCGATGTGTGAGGCTATCAGTGTTAACCCTCACGGGGGAGGGGGTTGTGACATTTACAGTTTTTACCGAACGCTTGTTTTTTTTCGAAATCGCCAAACATTGTCTTCTAGAAGGGCTAGAAAAGATAGTAGGGAGCTAGTATATATAGGAAAACGTATACACACGTACATAGATAGATAGAAGACCATAGAGAAAAAAGATAGCTTTTGAAGCAACACAAAATACTGTGCGCTAAGTCATGCAAATCTTGCCTTAGCTCCTCTTCCATCACTTCAGTAAATTGTAAGTACCAAAAAACATCATTTTTGCCCCTTCCTATTGTCATGGAATCGTGAAGTTTGCCTTTGTCGTTATCATAGTCGTTAGGAATACCGCGTCACGCCTGTGTCATTAAAACTGACCCCTAACGTTGTATATTGTGGTAAGGCCACACCAAGTAAATTCTATGGATGACGTCTTTTGGAGACCCTAAATCTAATGCGAGAGGGCGAAAAAACAAACAAGAAGGGCCCTAAAACAAGATTAGATTAGAAATATACTAAGAGACGACAAATGTTAGGGCACAAATTGAATGAGGTGACACAGTGTAACAAGCAAGAAGTCTTTTATTCATCATCAAAACAGCAATAAATCAGGTGGAACAGCAGTTGTCGTCCTGTCATGTTTCTTTCATCACATTTTTGCAGGCCTGCAGAAGTACTCTTTACCTATTTCGCGTTACGGGTTTCACGTCAATCTAACGATTTGCGGCACTGTTGTGACTCTTTGGTCATAGTTACAGGAAGCGGAATTTCTTGTTTTTTTTCTAGGAACAGGCCAAAATCAATGCGCGCGCGGACGTCATCCATAAAATTTACTTGGTGTGGCCTAACCCAAGACGGCCTTGTACATATCCCCTGCCTGTGGACCCAAACACCCGTCATATATACTTCAGGCCACGGGAAATACTCAACATCAATCAGTTGTCAGAGTGTGCTAAATACACTGGTTTGCTGTACTCCAAACGATCGTTTAATAGTCTAGATAACACAGTGCATACATATACACATAAGGATGAAAAACATTTTAATATTTCCTATGAAGCAGGTTTGAACTGTAATTTCTAATACAAGAAATTGGACTGTACAATTACAAACCGAAAATTTGTGTAAGTTTAATTTCTTATTTTGGAAGTTACAGTTTAAACTTTCTTCATAATGACTTATACAAACACAGGTGAACTTTTAAGATGAGGAAGAATTACTATCTGTAGTTATTACATTGATAACTTGAGCGTGTTATGTTATGAAGGGTATGTATGTTAGCTAAAACTGGCTTTAGTTTTCTCAGTCTTTTATCTATTTGTAGTGTATGTGTATTATTTGAATTATTGTAATTTGGTTTTCTTTTTCTCCTTCTGGGGTGAAGAGAAGTCGTTAAACTTTACTGTAGTGTATATATTTTTTAAGTTGTTTATGAAAATTAGATATTAAATCTTCCGTTGCCATGCATTTTCCCCAGGGTTGGAAGTACCACTCGACAGGAATTCCCACCGTGGTGTTCGACACGGGCGACTGTCCACGCCGTAAGCGGAAGCTGAGAATCCTCCTGGCCGAGAGAGGCACCGGCTTCATCCTCTGGCAGGACTGCGTGGACAACTACACCAACTACAAGGCCCCGGACAAGGGTTTCCACACCATGATGGTGTCCACGGATCGCAGAAAACTGGCGGGCTTCAGTTTTGACGACGAGCAGGCCGCGTCGGACTTCCTACGGACAATCTGGACGCTCACGACCAACCCGGACGTGGTCAGCCCCATGAGGACCAGAGAGAAGAAGCACCGAAAGAAGGAGGGAGGGAAGGTCAAGTTCAAACTGCCCAAGAAATGCGATATCTCGCAGCCATGTTGTTTCCAGCATATCATCGCGGTGGAGGAGAAGGATCGTGACGTCATCCCCAGCCTAGGGAGGCTCTGTCCCAGGCCCCCGTTCAAGCATGCGCAGAAAGCGACGTCAGACGACAATTCTGCGTCCGATACTTGCGACAAAGACAGTTCTAGTTACTCGTATTAACTTTACAGTAGCCAAACAAAAATGGTACCAGGCAATATACCAAAGATCAATACTAAAGTAGGCAGGACCGTAACGGTTGAAAGACCACAGGCCTATTCATCAACTCCAAATGTCAAGAACTTCAACAGCTTTTTAGCTGGAAGACTATAATAGTATAAAAGCAGCGGTGGTCCTAAAAGGACAGGTTTCCGCAATGTAGCCGATTGCTGGCCAATCGGAGATCGCGTAGCTGTCGCTTTGGTGACAGACGCCGCCATGACAGCTGAGGTGGCGGGAAAAAAGCTGCAGACGATAATTTCATAGAGCTGACTAAAAAAATAATTTTCATTGAGGCTTTTGTATGCCAGGGCCTTCTCACGGGAAAGGACCGCAAGAAAAGAGCCGGGGGAAATGTGGGAACCATCTACAGCCCCCCGCAGACGACATCTGTATATTTGTGAGTGTGGGGCGCTGATGGCGGGAACATCTGCAGACGATATTCAGGACATTTTCAGACGACATCTTGACTGGAACCACCTTACGCAAATCTGGACTGCTAGACTACATCTGTGAGGATTTTTCGCAGGCGAGAATCACTCCACTCAGTGCAAATTGTGTGTCAAAATAACTGTTGTTTCCCACGGCGAAAAAGAAAGGAAAGGACTGCGTCCAATGAAAACAAACGTTAGCGTTATGTGGGAATGTTTAAGCGGTGTGATCAACATATTATGGGGTTGCCAGCGCTGGGAGAGAAATACAGGCGGTTGTTTTGGGTCGTTTCCAAGTAATATATTGTCTTAAGATTTCATCAAGGAAGGAATGAAGGAACACACGGTCTACTGAGTTTCGTTTGCGAAAACCAGATTACCCACAATCCATCACTCGGCACCTGTTGTTTTGCTGGGGATGCTCAGCTTCCCTCAAGTACACATGATATAAAGTCGACTCGAGTCTAGTCATTATTTGTCTTTTCTTCTTGTCTGAGGACCGTTCAAAGTTGTCCAAAATATGTCCTTAACAAAATTTCCTCGTAACTGTGCAAAAATAAATTCCTACAAGTTATAGAAAAACTTAGTTTGCCGCTTAGGAAACCGCGTTCAGGTAAATACAATCTACAGACGTAACTGGTTTATATGGCAAATGAAGACGTTTTGTTTTGGATGTTCTGGAGAGTTTTGGACGGTCCCTGTACTTGTTTATGCGGTGGAAGTAAATGGAAAATGAAGAGCTTTTGTTTGGGAAGTTTTGGAGAGTTTTGGACGGTCCCTGTACTTGTTTATGCACTGGAAGTAAATGGCAAATGAAGAAGTTTTGTTTGGGATGTTCTGGAGAGTTTTGGACGGTCCCTGTACTTGTTTATGCGGTGGAAGGTTGAGTGAGGGGTGTGGGGTTTCTCCGCTTGTGTTCTAAGCGCTGATAATCAGCTCTTAGAGCTGGAACGCCGACAATGTGGCCTTTCATGGCGGCCTGCCCACGCTAGAAGGCAGAGAGCCCACTCCACGGGAACAGGGTAGGGAGCGACCACGAAACCATGGGAACAAAGTGTTGTAGAGAGAGCTTTCGATTATTTCATAGTTATACGACATATCAAAAAGGGCATGAAGAACAGAAACGTATCGACGACTTGGGGTTAGCCTCTACCAGGCTTCAGAAGCGGCTGGAAAGAGTAGAGATTGGCCAAATATACAGATAACATGCCAGGGGATTTGGTACGCTGTAGGAGTACATTTGCCGCACTACAAGGTCCAAATGTACTCCTCAGTAGGAACCAACTCCCCTGGCATGTTATCTGGCTATTCGGCCAATACCCACTCTTTCCAGTCGCTTCCTGAAGCCTGGAAGAGGCTAGGATTACGACAGATTGGCCAATCAAAAATATTACCCCTACAGTTATTACTGGTCCATCCCTTTGAAACAGAAATAATACTGACTTGATTTACATTTGCACACAACAGTGTTTCCTATTAATTTCCTCCAGGAAAAAAATGTCTGACAAGTTCATTAATGTCCTTGATATAATGCATGCCTGGTTTTCTTTGCCTGTAGTTTATGTGAAAGTTCACTAGACAAGCCGACCGGTCTTAATATTTTTCTTTTATGGTGGAAAACGAAAGCTGTGGCCCAGGAACATTGAGTTTCAGTACGATATGAAGACTTTTTCCCCACAAGGGTAAAATTGTCCGGATCGAGCCGAATTGGTTCGCTTTGAACCGGATTGAGCCGGCTTCGAACTGGATCGAGCCGGATCAAAGCGAATCAAATCGGCTCGATCCGGACAATTTTACCCTGGTGGGAATGGGGCCTTTCTGTGGTAAATTTCAAAGTCAAAGCTACAAACTAGCCAAAACAGGATGGCGGTTTTTTTGGGAAGTGTTAGTCATCATGAAGGCTGTTTTTTGTGGTTGGTGACAGAGAAAAGTTACCATGAGAAGTTTTGGCAACGCCTCAACATTCCGCTGTCTGACTTGACTCATTTCATGGGAAAATATTTGCAAAATATTTTTCATTTGTTAGAAACGCGCCAACAAGGTAAAGGGGCAATAATGTGAGTGTGAAAACTAGCAACAATAAACGTCTATTATCGGAAAATTAGCAGAAAAATCGTTTAACGAAAAATATCTTATTTTATACTAATAATTGCTGTTATACGTAACGTTAGAGGGTCCCCTACCCTAATATTATCTGATTTTAGTTTTCTGAAAGTGTCCCCCTTCTACGCACGCCTGCCCCCTCTATATACCATTGACAAGTGCACAGTCAATGGATACTTCACTATCAAGATAGATTCGATATCCTGCTCCGTTGGGGACATTTTAGGGTCAACCACCAGGCCTTGATAACAACTCTAAATCAAACCTGTTATCAAATGTTATTCCATACCATAAAACGACTGGATAAAAGGCATATACATAGTATAATTTGTAACCCATGGGAAAAACATATTGCTGAAAGTATACCCTTGGTGGAATGAATCCCTTCATAATAAAAGAGTTATAATCATATTACAGTGAAGGCATTTTCCGTCGCCCTCCCCCAGTGGTGATGTTATATCAATCAGGACCTCCCCAAAGATAACAACTGTGCATTAATGTCTCTCTATAAACTAATAACGGGTGCTGAAAACTCGATATCGGACGGGCGGTCGTCAATTTCGGGATCTGATGTCAACCGTTCTCCTATAAAGGCATCCAATATATGCGATTTCAGGGCAGCAAAACTGGAAATATTGTGAATAAGGCAATCTTTGTGATATTGACACGTACTGCTTCGCATTAGCACATTTGAATCAGTATTTCATACTTAGGGCTTTTAAAACTGCAGAAACAAGCCCCAAGATGAGTCCTTTATTTTCTGGGTGGTACCCCCTTAAAAATCAGCCCAGGGCCCTTCCAGAGACCATTTTCCGTCAGAATTTTTGTAATTTTTGCCCCATGAGGGTCAATATACATTGGAATTGTGTTGTTTCAACTATATGACTAGAATATTGGCTTTGAAAATGGGGTTTCCAATCCCTAAAAACTGCACGGGATGCCTGAGCAGGTTTTCTCACACGTAATAAACGAGAAGCAGCTGAATAAAGTTAACTCAAAATAGTCGCCAGTCCCCAGAGGGATATGGACACTACATAAGCGAACGTAGCCACAACTGGAAAAAGCTAGCATCCAATTCGTTACACTATACAAATATAAAAAAAAAATACTAGTATGCATAGTTGTACATGTAAGAACCTGTTCTTTAGTATTTTACATTTGCTTTCATTATATGTCGAAGTCATGAATTTTCAACGTGTACCTAAATATCGATAATTATACGCTATTACCGTACATAAACTAAACAACACAAAGTACATGGGGTACGGAAATAGCGTATAAAATATATATACTGGCAATTCGCGTCACAGACAAACTTTTGTTCGAATACGTATGCCTATCTGTATTTGGACTATTCCATTCTAGATGATGAGGAGGGGGCATTTGGACCACTTTTTATCCCCTCACTCCCCGGGATCTTTTTACTGTACAAACCCCAATAACAGGGAGAGAGTGTGTGTTGAGAAAAAGCTGACAGCTAGCCGGGCGCTCTTGTGTAGGTGTTTGACAACACTAACCAGGATCTAGGAGCCGGGGTTAGTGTCCCTGTACACTGCCCAGACTTATAGAATTGGGGGTTTGATGGTTTTCGGTACTAGGTTTTCGGCTGTTTTCTGATTAGCCCAGTTCTAAAACGGGGGTAATTCAACCAGGCCGGCTATGTTGTCTATATGCAATCAGAAAATAGCACATATAAGCTTCCAAAGACCCTGAAGACCCCCCAAACCCCCAGTTTTTGGCATGTTATGGAGGCTAGGTGTCTCTGTATACTGTACAGACACGGCGTCCGTCACACGTCATCCTCTCTATCTGATACCCGCAAACTACAACAGCTGCGACCGGGACCCGCGACCCGGGCTGTCGCTCATATTCCGACGTGTTTTAGACAAGAATGGTCTGTTTTGATAATTTCCAAGCAGATGTTTCCTGGTGGCAAAATTATAACCAATTGTCTTGCCTATTTGATACTCTATTGCCTATAATTAAGTCTATTGCCTATTGGATACTGACTTATTGCCAGTTTGTAACTTCACCACTGAAATATCTGCTTGGAGATAGACTGTTTTGATAGTCGGACTGATTAGAGTAGAGTAGAGTAGATGTCAGGTAGGAGCTTAAGTTCCAGTCAACTGGTATGTTGCCGTGTTGTATCTTTGTTAAAATAGTTGGAATACTGAAAAGTTTTACCACATGTTTTATCACCTTGTCCAACTAAAAATGGACGAAGAAAACCATTAATGATGACAACGTTTCGATACTTTTTTTGGCGTCCGCTTGGCCAAATGTTCAGGCCAGGTGCGGGCCCCTTGCTCCTATTACGAGGCACGGTCCTCAGCTTAGGGTGTCAGCAAAGGTGGTTAGGGAACAACGCAAAAGTCGGAAGCTTTTACTGTAACAGAACGTAAGAAATGTAAAGCAGTATATTGTACTGAGTGCGTCTACCCTGTATAAAGAAGACAGAAATAAATAAATAAATAAATAAGAAATCCCATTGCAGCATGACATTTGTAAGACATCTACCTCGCGCTATATAGTAATCTAGATGTTGCAGTACTCTGCAAATATAATAGGTTATAGAAAACAACAAGAGGAACAACAACAAAACAAACGAAACATGATATTTCCAAAATAAGATTGATAATCAAAATGATTCACATTAACCCTAGTACAATAACATCAGGTTGTTCCTAGAATTAGAAGAATAGAAACAGAAAGACACTCCTGGCCCCGGGCCGGGGATCGAACCCACGCCAAACCCGGGGGCCAACCTGACGCTCTAACCATTCGGCTAAAAGGTCTAGACCCTTCACCAGATCAGTTGGTAGAGCCTATTAACCCCCCACTGTTACATTCCTTTTTACCTGCAATATTTTTTCCTGAACTGACACATAATACTGACACTTAAGGAATTTTTGATGGTGACTTGTTTATCTTAAGATCTACAACTCAAGTGAAAGTGTGGGAGGTATTTTCCATGAGTTATATAATGCGACAACCACTTTCGCTTATCAAGAAAACCTCACCGCATCTCAAAACAATGGAATTCTCAAGATTCCATCCGACACTTGAGAAGGTCGCGCCAAGGAAATACAAGACGAAGTAGACTCCCACTTTCCATTAAGGAAATCTGGGAGAAATTTTGATGGCATCAGAGAGTCTTAGATCAGAATCTTAATGGGGAGTCTGTTCGTCTTGAGACTCAAGTTATCGTCGCTTGTGTTAATTGTATATAATTGTGTGTGGGTAAAACTTGGTCAAAACTGCTCAATGACAATGCCGATCTCTTTTTCTACCTCCATGAAAGAACGGAGAGATTGACTGAACCGCCCCATCTAGCGAGCAGACCTGATTTGCACCCTGTAGTGCTATCTTCATGATGACATTTTGTTCGAACGTTCTGTACTTTCTGTTCGTGATTTCTTGCTCAGTGAGCCACTTAAAAAACAAAATTCCTTTTGTAGTACAACAACCAGACTATGAGACGCCCCCCTCCCCAAGGTATTTAGCAAAGCTACTGGATCAAAACGTAACGTATACAATTTACTAATGAGTCATTTCAAGGTTTAGAAATTGAACTTCATCTTGGATACTAATTACGCTCGCAGTGGGACGTAAGTAGGAACACATGGGTTGCCAAGACGATCAACTTTCCAAATAAACATGTCCAACATCTGTGTTTCAATGCCCTTGTCTAAGAACCTTGAACTTGGAGGTTTTGAGACGTTACCTTCTTGGATGAAAATAGCTAAGGTAATTTTATCACACCACACAATGTGACAACTGAAAGACATAGACATAGCAGTCGGCAAAGGTACTAAAAATCAGCCGGTTCTCGAGTTATCCTCCCTCAAAGATTTTTAAACAAAACGCCCTGCAGTTCCAGAACCAGCTGCTAGGGTGCCCAAACTACTGTCACTTCTTTCATAGCCAAAGTACTATCTACCATCTAAAATTTGTGACCATAGTATGTCTAGAGTATGAGATATAAAAAAAAAAAGAAGTTCAGTACCTAGGAAAACCACGAGGGGGACCAAAATCTAATTGTTTCGAGATCTCATCAAGACCTACCCACCCACCAAGTTTCATGACAATCCACCTAAAGCTTCTTGAGTTATCGTACTAAACCACTAAACTGTTACACAGACACACATACAAACGCTATGGAAAAGATAATATTCTTGGTGTAGGTAACAAAGAACGTTACAACTTCAAAATGTACTGCATAAACGTGTGAAACAGTATAGCCTGCTGGTATGTCTACAGTCAGCACTAAGCAGTCACCTTTGTAAAGCTTTAAAAGTCAAGGTTAAAAGGATCCGGTACCAAGCTGCGCCGTCACACGTGTACGGTCTCAATGTCACACCGGTCCAAACAACAGGAACTCCGCGGGTGGGACACAGGTGGGAGGGGGGCAGCAGGGGGCGGCTGGAGGGTTGTAGGTGTGATGATGTACTCGTGTAGGAATAAAAATAGAAAGGTAACATTTGCAAAGCAAATATGATGCATGATGTTTACCTTCACATATGTGGTCTGCTCTGTTAATTCTTACTCACAAACACATTCACATATGTGGTGGCAAGAGTCTAAATCCCTCCTGCTATAAAATTGCAACATGATGTAACCAACACTAGTTACCATGGTGACAGACGTTTGGTTCCTCTTCTTGTTAGAAGAAACTGAGCAAAAACAATATGTTTCCCTCTACAAATGTAGTATAACGCTAGTAAATAGGAGACTGGCTACATTTTGGCAGAGCAGTTAACCAGTTATATACAGCAAGCCAAGCTAGTCAAACGGACGACAGCTAGCTGCTCATAATCAAACAAAATAGTCAGGAGTTTGAGGGAGCAGATTGAGTGGGTGTATCGGAACGAGAAGTGCGGAGGAGGATTGGCTTACCAAGGTCATACGAAGGTTAAGGAGCCGAAAACTATATCCTAGAAAATGCGGTGTGTTCTGCATGTCTGTTGCAAACCGTCAAAAGATCGTATACTCGTATTATTAAATAAATGAACAAACACAATCCAGTTTAAAGTGCATAAACATGTATTACACACATGTGATGTGCTCTCATACACAAATATACACACATGTACAAATTTACATATGGCGAACATGATGTCAGCAAATATATACAAACAACACATCGTGTTCAACATTATGGCAACATGGGAAATGTACATAGACCTCATTTGTGACAGGAAAAAATCATGTGCAGACGCTTTGAGACAACATCGGTGCTCATGGCTGACTTGTTATGGATCACAGACGAATTTTATTCGTTACAAACCTGGTCATAAGTACTGTTCGAGAAACAACGTTGAAATATGCTACAGTCTGTGCAACATGTATTTTTTTTCACATGGGCCATGAAGAATATAACATAACGCGTCTCTTAGTGTTTTAACTTATATTAAGACAGGGCTATCTACAATATATACATATATATTGATAAGCAAACTTCTCTTTTTTCAAAGTCTATAACAAACACATTGTCAAAGTTTCCCTGGTTCCTATGTTTCCTACAAAATTTGACGTGGTAGAGAGCTCGGTCTTGGTATAATTGTGTCTCTAAGAAACGCGCAATGCATTGTGGCTGTATCGTGACCCTAAATGCAAGTAAACTTCCATTCCCACAATTCATCACGACTAAGGTTCATTGGGAAAAGCGATGCATTGTAGGAATTCTTGTACTTGCATTTGAATTCTGTACCAAATTGTAATGTTCCAGAGACGATAGCATACTTTTCAACTTCTGAAATCATATTGCAAAATTTTTAAACAATTATGAAAAAGACAATAATACATGTATAACAGTTTAGGTGTTGGACACTCAAAAAATTGACATATACTCCTATACTTCATCAAAAATTGTGCAGACATTGTCCTTAGATTTTACACAGTTCTGTGACTGTTATTGGTACACCGTAGTCTTTGGGTACTGCGCATGCACAGATGTGGGCACCTGGTACTGAGGTAGCGCGTATCTCGTCGTGGCTGCCGCGGGGAGTGATGGGATAGATGTGGCTCCCGCGGGGAGTGTCGGGATTGATGTGGCTGCCGCGGGGAGTGCTGGGATAGATGACGCCGAAGGGAGTGTCGGGATGGATGACGCAGCCGCCAGTGTTGGGTTCAGTCCCGCCACGGAGTGTAAGGGTAGACGGGGTGGCAGGGGTACGGTGGGGGACGGGGGGTAACTCCCGGGGGTAGGGGCGCTGTACTGGATGGGGGGTTTTGGTACGGAGGGAGGGGCGCCCTTGGGGATGATGTGGGGAGCCCAGGGGTCCGTCATCATGTAGTGCGCCTGCGCGCCAGGTACGCCGGGGTGGATGGCGCCAAACTCACTGACCCGCTGTTTCTTCCACCGGGCCCGCTTGTTCTGGAACCAAACCTGTTGGAGTGATACAGAAATGCAGAAATAAGATTTATGATACATGAGGAAGGATACATCACAAGTAAGTTGGGCCTGACGTTTCGTTCATGATCGCCAGATGTCGCTATAGAAATAGATTTTGTGCAGTCAATGTACATGAACATGCTGTACATGCAATCTCGTCAGGAAGCGTTCCAAGGGTTTATAAGATTTAAAACAATTTGATGTGATCATAAATGCATAAACAGTAAAACAAGCAATCCATTGAAGATAAATATCCCCCAAACTTGGTGTCTCCCAAAAACTTTGTCAGACAAGACAAGATTTCGGACTCAAATTTTGGCTAGTCGGTGATGCCCTTGACAACAAATATCCTGTACATGTCTACGTTGACGATTCTTTGACAATATTTCATGTGTGTTTGTAAGGCTCACCTTGATCTTAGCCTCCGGTATCTGTAGTGTTGTAGTGAGCCAGTCCAGAGTGTCGTTATCCGGGTAGTGGGTCATGGCGAACACCTGTTCCAGCGCACTCACCTAGAGGGAACACCGGAGAGGAAAATTAAGAAATCACTGGGGTCTAGGTAACATTGTTTTGTTACAATACCCTTTAGTCGTATGGCTGTATCTTAAGTCAAAGGGATCAAACATTAAAAATACACATTACGCAAAGCAAAACCATTAAGTACACGGATTACATTAAAGTATACAGATTACATCCACACATCGCAACTTATTATGAAAACCCTTTGAACAATACCATAATCCAGGGTAGGGCTTTCACCACTAAATCTTACTTAGTCAGCACACACCCACACACATATGACACCACATGTATATATACTTAAATGTACATACACACATACATTCATACCGCGTATATACATATGCATGTTCATCCCATACTGCGCTGTAAAACAACAAGTACATGTAGGACTAACCTGGTGGTATTTGAAGGTGGTTCTTGTTTTCTTGCCTTTCTTGTCCGAGTCAGGAGCACTTGGCGGTGGAGTCGGCGGCTTTTTCTGTCGGCGCTCTGGCGGCGAGGGTGTGCTTGGGGTCGGGCTCGGCACCAGAAGCTTCTCCGGCGGGTGGGACATCTCCAGCTCCTTCTGCCCCAGGGAGAAGTTCTTGACCTCGTCCGGGCTGGCATCGTAGTCGTCTAGGAGCGGCTGCGGGGAGATGGTGCCCTCCGACGCCGAGGACACGCTCTGCTGGTCCGATGTCTCAGACCCGGGGGTCATGAACCGATGCGGGTTGTGCCGCATTAGGTCAAGTGTACTAACGGGGAAGGGTGGGGAGAGCTCGGAGGGTCTCTTGGGGGATTCCAGGATGCTGTCGATGTAGTGCCTGGTGCGGCCTTGGTACGGGTAGTAGTAGTTGGGGACGGGGGCAACGGCGTTCGGGGGACCACCTGGGGGGCACCCGAAGTCCAACGGCACGGCTACGTACAACGGGCTTCGCCCTCGCTGGAAGTTCTGAGTCCTGGGCGCCGCCATTTTGAACCTTACAAGGTGGCTGTAAGGTACAAAAAGGACAAATTCAGCAACATGTCTTCATATGCCATATATGGTATTTTGAAAAATATTTGAGCGATCGCTGTTTTTATTTACATCACGTACATGCAAACTAGTTGAAAGCATATGCAAATTATCGGTAGGCAAGTCAGTCAACTGTCACCCGCTTTTTGACTACCACTCGCTGGCCGTGATACCGCGAAAATATCTAAAATCACTGCAATATGGCAGGCATCAATAGTACCAATGTCTTTTTTCTAGACCAAGATACAAGGGAAATCACCAACCATAGTGGAAACCACCAATATTTGAAGCACGCGACATTTTGAAATGAAAAATTCCCGTCTTGTACATGTTCTTACATATGCAAAACTCCGTCTCACTATGTCGGAATTGCACCAGAGAAGCAAGACTCCATGATTTCAATTTCTGGTTCACATCATACATACGCTATCGTTACAAAATGGACAACTACCAGTAATTCTTGATGTTGCCATTTTATTATACACGTTTGCATACGAATATTCTTCGGGTTGACAAAGTTGGAATGTAAGAAAAGGCCGAACACTAGTACAACACGAGTCTGACATTATACTAGTATATGGATGGCAACGTGGCAAAGATTTAGTCATTTTCTCTCATAGAAAAGATGCAGGACACCTTACCTGATTCGCCGTGGGTCGTACCGCTTTCTTGTCTTCTAGCAGAACGATTCCTTCAGAGCTTCTTACGACACGAACGCTCACCTCACACCGTCTTCAAGAACTAACGCCAACACCTCACCTGCGCATTTTATGCCACCTCACCTGCTGATGACGTCACAACCTCATCTCCATGGCAACCGGTGGACCAATCAGATACGCGTATCGCCCATTGTCTCTTGTATTGCTGTCACAGAATTTCTATTGTTCGAAGGAAAAGTTTAACTAGCGTCTTCTTTTGACTAATTAGCGAGATGTTATTGTATCGTTTACGACCGACGCGGGTTTCTAAAAAACACGTTATGGTTATGTAAATTAAAGAACTTGTCTAAACAGGTTAGGTCAGTGGAAAAAAGCGCGCGAAAGGCTTCTGACGTTGGAATGACTAATTAAGTGATTAGCGTATATTGTCCGCGCGCTTGGTCACATAATCATGTTTTTGTTCTTCATTGTCTTGTGTGTAAGAGGTGTGTATGGTACTTACTATGCTTTTCAAGGTGGTTGGCTAAACGTATTGTTTGGAACAATAGCATGCTAGATAAAAGTGTCTGCACAAATGGCATGGCTGTACAAGTTAGAAATATACAAATATCTTGATTGCAGTTTGTAACATTAGAGAAGTTCCAAAATTATATGTAAACGCAAATGCTCGCTCCCTATATGTAGTTTAACGATGCTTATTTGCTATTATTGCATTTCATGGAATTAACGTCGCCCTGTAATAATATACATGTATTTAATAGCTGATAATTTCAATACGCATGCTTCGGCAATATAGTTGTTGCTTAGCAACGTCTGTTTTGCATAAAGAGAGCTTCATATCTAGGCTTAGTCCAGCCTCGGCTACCTCTGTGAGCACAGAATATACTAAAGTATCTTTGTTCAGAAAAAAGTGGTTTTCCAGTTTTTCAGCTTTAAAATCTAAGGCAGTGCAGTTATAAGGAATATTTTGAGGTGACTGGATAAGGAGGCTTAATTCACTAGATCTCTTTGAAAAGAACAAGGACCGCGCTCAACCGTCCTGTTTTCACGTCCGGTCGGAAGCTGGTTTTGACTGGTTCTGGACTTGACCCATGGATCACGTGTTGAGAGGATGGCCGAGGCGTGACATTGACGTGTTCTCTGCGTACTGAAGCCGTGATGTAGGCATGACCGTCACCCAAAGAGCGACGCAGTGAGAAGAACAGAGGACAACGCAAAGAACACAAAAGCACAGTAAGAGAATATCTTGAAACAGCGAGTTTTTTGTCAGAAATTTTAAAGATTTTGTCGTTATCGTGTTTGAAACATCTATAAGCAGACAATCTTTTACCTAGATATTATATAATATCAGACCAGAATCTTCAGTTGATTTTTATGGCTTATGGTTCTACCATACCAGTGTTCTACATGTTCCAACAGCAGAAAACATTGGAAGATTCCATTGCTGCACTACTGGAACACTTCACATTTTGGACAGGGGTGATTTAGGAACAGTTCATTTGTGCGAGAGGGGAATAGGTCCGTTTTGGTGCGGAGGATGTCGTGAAGCCATCTTGCATTTGCTCCCGAGCAAATGTCGGAATTTCTAGTATATATCGGATTGCGTTTGTGACTTGAAGACTATAACTAGGACTGTCCAGCAATTCTAGGGCTCGTCTTTGAGACGAAGACATACAGTGAATCACAGACGTCTTTAAGTTGATGTGCATCTGTTCCTTTGAGACACAAGATGTCGTACGAGTCAGGACTGGCGACCGTGTGCGTCACGGCTGTTGGCGCCATCCTGTTCCTGGTGCTGTGCGTGTACCTGCCCTACTGCTGTTATAGGATGAACCGCAAGAGGCGCCACGTGGACGACGCGGACGAGACAAACGGAGGCGATTCAGACTCCGGTCCACCCAGCATTGTCACCAAGTTATAGGATGAACGATGATACTTAGGCCATGTTGATTTGATTATATGGATGACATCCACGCGCGCATGAATTTTCGGCCGTTTCCAAAAAAAAAAGTTTTCAACCATACTGTAAATCGTACAAAACAGTTGCAAAATGAGCAAAAATATACCATAAGTTACAAAAAAATTAATAAAAACTATACCAATGTCGTAGAATGCCAAAATCAAACGAAATAAGACGAAATTGTAAAGAAATGAACTTGAAGACTAGATTATTCGCCAAACCATATTCTGTGCCATTTGCTCAACCCTCATGACCACGTAGATTTCATAATGAAAAGAACTTTTTTTTTTGCAAAACTTTTTTTTTTATTCGCACGCGCGCATCAGTTTTGGGGCTCCCGGAGGATGTCATCCATATAATCAAATCAGCATGGCCTTACCCTGGAACAACGAATATGTAGGCATTGCAATCTAAATAGGATAGAGGATGAGGAACACTTTGTATTAGAATGTAGTTTATACAACGAAGAGAGAGCCGAGCTTTATAAACTATTGCAATGTATGTTTCCCCATTTCATACATCTTAGCAACACAGTTTAGCAACAACAAAGTTCATATTTCTAATGGCTTTAGACAAACCTTCGATTATAAAACACATCTGTACTTATATCTACATCGTTACTAAGAAGCGAGAAGAAGCCAAATTATCGTAATTATTAGACTAAGACTATATGTCCATAGTACATAGAATTAGCACTAGCTTGTACATTGTATATATTCATTGCAAACTGTGACGTCTTTCCTGTGACCTGTACTGAACCCAGTGGGTATTTGCGTACAATAAAGGTCTTCATTCATTCATTCATTCATTCTAATCTCCAAGCAGATCTGTTGGTGGTTGCAAAGACAGTACTAGTGGCCAGACAATATCCATGGAAAGTGCACCAAAATTAAAATCTGCTTCGACAAATTCGACAAATTTAAAGATTGTGGTGTGGGATTATAATGTCCCAAGACCTAACTTCTGTCTGTGACATAGATAGTTCTATGATGCTTAAGCTTGTTGTTCTTTTAATGTGTACAATAAATCCAAGTCACAGTTTGTTTCTTGGGGGAGTTGTTATATTGTTATACTGTTATACTGTGAATGGACACTGAAGTTTCAGTAATAGCCTCGAAACACAGACTTGCCGCTGTCCTGCCTTCAAAAGACACACAGTTTTCCATCCCAATGTTTTAGTCCGGCGAACGAGACTAGAAAAGCAACATGTTTTTTTTTTCAACAGGCACGGCCCGGTACAGACTTGATTAACACACGTGTGCACGCGACTAATATAAGATATATATATAATGGATATTTCACTTTATCTCATTTTTACCCTCTGGAAGAAAACATTGACATTTGATACAGTGCTATTAACTATACATATGACCTATCGAAAGTCTCTTCAATTATTAATGAAACGAACGGCGCAGTTTCCTTCTCTCGATCTTATGGTACCGATGGGGTGGCGAAGGAAAGGCGAGAGGTGGCGGCAGTGAAGCTACTTAAGAACATGCTGGACGAGGGTCACCCCTCCATGACCTGGTTCCACCGGCCAGGACAACGGCCACTGGGAGGACCCTAAGAAATGGAACTGCACTCACAGTACCAGCAGCCCGTAAAAAGACTGAAAAACTCTTTCTTACACAAGGCAATATGCCTGTACAACGAGTCTTTGCAGTAACTCTCAGGACTCTCTGGACTTTACTTAAGTGCCCATGTGTGGCTTTGTAATGTGTTTGTTTGTGTGTCTGTATACGTATTGTAATGTTAATTTTGTATTTGTACAGTACTCACTACACGATTGTAAAAAATCAGTGTTATTCAGCTTGTATGCGCACTACATGCAGCTGCAAGGCTGATTTTTATTAATAAAACTTGAAAACTTGAAACTTGAGTGACAAGCAAGAGTGGTTTCTCCTCAATCTCAAGTTAGAGGATGGGGTGGGCGATTGTTAAGTTGTCTAACCGGCCAGATTTTACGTCAGTTGGCCTGTCAGAAGACGTTAAAATTGTCCACCCTAACATCTGCTTGGAGATTAGAACTCCTCTCAAGCGCGCGATATCGTGTACTCTCCAAGCAGAGGTTTGGGTTTTGGCTTATCTTGGGTTCGTTTTTAGGCTTTATATTGGGCATTCTTTAATGCACTGCTACATATTTTTTTACGCCAAACCATCTTGTTGGGTAGCAAAAGAAGAACACCTAAAACACGCCAAAAATAAGCCCAAAACCCTAACATCTGCTTGGAGAGTGGATATCGTGTCTTGTACTGAAAATAATCTAGTTTTCATTAGTTAGAGCCCCTATAACTATAGGAATGTATCCACTGTAAGGATTCCTATCGTGAGAGTATGATTTCATTAAACAGGATGTCGTACAACAGATCACCAGGTATCCATGGTAACCGACGTCCCTACGTCATCGACTTGAAGTCTTTAGTATCGGGTGTTGATTCCAAAGTCGTCAGATAGAGGCGGAGTTGTCAGAAGGAAGGAACGCGCGGGTCGGAGCAGTCGAGATGCCGCGTTCCTGGGTCCTCCTTCTGTTGGTTGGTTTGCTGCACGGGGTGTCTTGCCGGCCCCGGGGATGGCGTAGGCTTAGAAATGGCACCAGGGCCTGGAATGACACCAGGGCCTGGAATGACACCAGGGCCTGGAATGACACCAGGGCCTGGAATGACATTGAGTCTGGAGAGATCGGAGAAGAGGGAGGATGGGAATTTGGGGACGAAGAAATGAGAGAAGGGAGAAGGGAGGGAGAAACAGAGGGCGGAGGCGAAAGGGGCGCCGGCGGAAGAGGCGGCGGAGGTAGGAGGGAAGACGACGAAGAACAGGGCGACCAAGGCAGGAGGGAATACGTCAGGAGGGGAAGGGGAAGGGGAGGCGGTGGAGGACAGGGCGGCCAAGGTTGGAGGGCATACGGCGCAGGGCAGGGCGGCCAGGAGTCGAGCGAAGACGGCCCAAGACAGGTCGGCCCAGGTTGGATGGCATACGGCCAAGGACAGGGCGGCGGACAGGGCCAAGGCGGACAGGGCGGAGGACAGGGTGGAGGACAGGGCCAAGGCGGACAGGGCGGAGGACAGGGTGGCGGAGGTAGGAGGGCAAGCGGCGGAGGACAGGGCGGCGGAGGACAGGGCCAAGGGCAAGGCGGACAGGGCCAAGGCGGACAGGGCGGAGGACAGGGCGGAGGACAGGGCCAAGGACAGGGCGGTCAAGGTTCCAGGGAAGACGGCAGAAAGGGAAGGGGAGGTGGCGTCGCGGACAGGGCGGCGGACAGGGCGGCGGACAGGGCGGAGGACAGGGCGGCGGAGGTTGGAGGGAAGGCAGCAGAAGGGGAAGGGGAGGCGGCGGAGGACGCGGCGGCGGAGGTGGAAACGGCCGCGGAGGTTGAGGCGGCGGCGGAGGCAGCGTAGATATTTTCGGCTATTCCTGTTTACGTAAGCATGAGCCTCACGAAACCATAGGTACGTTCTTGTCAAGCCAAACGTCATCTCGATACAAGGATATCGGCAAAGAGTTCATGTTACGTACATAAAATTATAGATAACTTTATTGCGCAACAATTGTACAATGTACAAAGTATGGCATCTACTAACTTAAGTAAGTACGTGTCAACTACATTTTTAAAAGGCTAATCTAATACAAAAGTGGGTGGCTAGTATGAGATAGGTATCAACTTATACAATCGTTGAAGGAGTTTCTAATATCCATACAGTCTTTAATATATATCCCTATGTATAGCATGTAGGGGTTGTCACAAGTCAATATAAATTTTCTTTCCAAGTTCATTGTGGTGAATGCTGGGAATATATATTTAATCAGTTCCATCGAATGATGTCTGTAAAGTTTTGGCTCCTGGTTAAGTTAGTGGCAGTTTTTAAAATGAAGTTTGCAGTCAATACGGATATCAATATGTACAATAAACCAGTTGTACGATAATTTCTCTGGCCGAGTTGTTTTTATTTGCAGTGAGCGCCACATGTTTATTGTGTAGTGTCAAGTCTACGTAAGAGTACTATTGAATCTTTTTCAGCTAGTTGTAATGCGAATCTTTTTTTCTTTCCCTCGCTCTTATCTTCTATAAAGAAACCCTAAACGTTGCAGGTAAAGAAACCCTAGTCTCAAGGCAAATTGGCTGGCTAACTCCCCTGGCCAGGTGCATTCCTTTTTAGGCCGATTTTTAGTATTTGTTCAGCCTGCAAAGGAGTCTGGTGGAGACAAAAGAAACCCAACATATCCTTACAATTTCTGTTTTAGTCGAAAGCAATATACTGAGAAAACAACAGTCGCCACATTGCTGTTGCTAAGACAGCACGTTGCTAATATCAATAAAATTCACCGGGAGTCTGCAATGGAGCAATCTGTCGAACGAGGATGTACTAATCTCCAAGCAGATCCCTCTCGGTTCGGTGGCAAAAAGACAGTATCAAATTGGCCAGGCAGTATCCATTAGCCAGAGAAGCTCCGCGGCAACCGACGGGTGGGGATCAGGACAAAAAAAAACCCCGGCCATATATAAAAAGGTAACGATCATTCCCCACAACCTCTGCTTGGAGAGTAAGGATGTACAGCAACACGTTGTTCGTCTCCGCTCTAGCCTGGCACGAAATGGCACAGACTTCATCAATGCAAATGCTACTCACGACTTATGAATATTTCAACTTCATTTTAGACACATCTACCTCTTTAATCTTTTCTCTTTTCGTTTTTTTTCCTATTCCCGAAACGAATGCGTTAGGGTCCAATATTTTATTATTAAAAGGTTTCGTTGCGACGAATTGACACAGGCATATTCATATACTGGGTATCACTTTAAGAAAGCAAACTCTCGGGGAGAGAAACATTTGGCCGTCGCTCGCAAATGTACGGTTGTTTTTCTAGTGGGTTATGAGGCATTCATGATTATTTAAAATGACTCCGCACGAGAACTAATCTTACTTCTTTTTTTTTCAACTTTCAAGTTTTTTTCAACTTATATTAATGCCGCCATCAACACAGGGAACAATAGAATACTCATTTACACCTGAGCGAAGTGAGGAAAGCCGTGTAAAGTGCCTTTCCCATGGGCACAAGATCGGTGGCATGTCAGGACTCGAACCCGGGCCCTCTTGGTTCCGAGTCGAGCACTCTGGCACTACGCCACACTACCCCACAACTAATCTTCCTTCGTTATTAGCTGTAAGATGATATGTACATGCACATGTACTATAGGTTTACGATGAAATCGATAAAATCGTCAGTCAGAGATGTCGCGATGTGTCGCTGGTGGGTGGGTGTTTTGGTCCTCGGTGTGCTACAGTGTTTGTCCTGTCAACCTGCGTCTGGGGACGAAATTGGCGGGAAAAGCGACGAGCCAGAGGGAGAGGAAGGGACCGAGATGGGTGGCGATGAGGCGGAAAGGCCCGGGAACGACGAGTGGGGCCGCAGAAGGGGATACATGGCAGGGGACGCGTACGGAGGCTTCGAAGACTTCCGGAGAAAAGAGAGAGGCGGACCAGGAGAGGGAAGGGAAGGCTTCCGGGATGGTGGAATGAGAAGAGGCAGGGGAGGATACATGGGAGTCTTTCCGGAAGGCGGAAAGAGAGGAGACGCGTGGCCATCGAGGAGCCCGTTGCATCGAGGCTTCCGGGAGGTCGACACGGGCTACGGAAGGGGAGACGGAACGGGCTACGGAAGGGGAGACGGAGCAGGCTACGGAAGAGAATACTACATGAACCACGGCAGGGGAGACGGAATAGGTCACCAAAGGGAATACTACGGCAGAGGGGATGGAATGGGAAAGGACAGGGAAGGTGACAGGGGAGATAGAAACGGAGGCGAACTGTGAGCGGTAGGGACAAGGTTGGCAGAGGAAAGTCCAGGGAAGATCCCACCCTTGGTCCTCTACCGAAGGAGACTTGGGGAGTACAACTAATCTGCAAGCGGACTGCCCAATGGTGTCCCCCTTGCCCCCGAAGAAATCTACTTGGAGATGAGCGTACAACGAGGAGGCTAAGGGACGATGGGGAAAATTATGGTGGGGTGGGGGTGGAACTAGTCGAGAAACGTTGGGATGATTGCGGGAAAAATTACGTCAGACAAGGACAATAACCACATGTAACTCTAACTAAGGCCGACCAACTCCTCTGACAAAGTATTCAGCCTATATGGCCGTTTTTTTGCTACCTTTTTCTAGCAACCTAAGGAGCCTGACCGAGATTATAGTTCATCCAGGTACAGACGTACCGACACAAAAGGCAGGCTAAATGGCTTCTGACTCTGCCTCTAGTGTTTGCCTGTAGTATACATTTTGTTAGCCAGTGTCCTCACTATGAGACCGAAAGAAACAGATTATTTCAGACAGTTACAACAATTTTCTAGCCTCTAGTATCTGCCTCTAGTATATTTTGTTAGCGAGTGTCCTCACTATGAGACCGAAGGAAACAGATATTTCAGACAGTTACAACAACTTCTCCATCCTTTCGTCATTTAAAAAGATCACCAAAAAACTGCATTTCTACTAAGATCACAAAACCCACTAATTATGCAGAATGTGGGACTATTCATTATCCACTGCCTTCAAAGAAGAAGTCGAACCCCATAATAGCTAGCGTAGTAGTAGAAGTAGAAGTTTTTTCCAGACAGTTGTTACCTGTCTCCTGTTACTGTATTGCAATGAGTATTATACTTGATTGTAAAAGCAATTAGCCTTCTGGCATGATTTTGCAAATAAAGTTTCAGTGTCTGCCACGTAACTACCGTAACAAATGATTCATTACCCCATGATATGCTGTGTCATCTTTGGAGTTCACATGTCACTTTGTTCATAAATGTCAAATAAAATCCGGCAAATTTACTGCAATGAAATCGCCTTTCATATGGGTGTCTTTAACCGTTTGTGGATTGGTCCGGCGCTAAGTCGTAGTCCTAAGTCCTGATTGTGTAGCCTGGTACCCAGTCTATCGTGGTTGGGGCGGGCTGCCTTCGGGGCTCTGATAGTCTTTCCCCCGTCCAGCTCAACAGACCGCCCGGTAGGAGTGTTACAACTTTATAGGAGTTTTGCACGCCAGGAGTTTAGCCCCTACTTTAACTCCCGTCGTGCAAAACCTACCGGGGAACCTAGCTGAGTCGGACGGGAAAGAGCTCCTGCAGCCCCGAAGAGAACCCGCCCTAACCCCGATAGACTGGACACCAGCTGGCTATGGATGTGTGACAGGGGATTCAAGCAATAACACACTGCCCTTGCGTTACCTGCCGGGGACAGGTACAGACTTAGGCCATGCTGATTTGATTATATGGATGGCATCCCTCGGGAACCCCAAAACTAGTGCGCGCGGACGAAAAAAAAATCCGGCCAAAAATAAAAATGCTACTAAACCACAAAGCTGATATTGTGAATTTGCGGCAGTACTTAGCGACGTATACGACAAGCCGGCACACATGCTGGCTTTTTGTGGAATTTATGAATCGGCACTGTGCGTATGTACTGAGTTCTTGAGTCGTGGAGCTTCGGTAGCCTGGGTGCCCGGCTCCGTACTGTCGCTAACTACCATGGACTACCCAGGCCTAGAGCCAAGCCAGAGCCTCGGTGGAGGTGATCGAAAATCAATGCGCGCGCGGATGTCATCCATAAAATTAAGTCGGTGTGGCCTTACCTGCACAATAGCATAGGCTACCAGCACAGTCATTGTCCTCTGCACGCGACGCATTCATATTTAATCACCCCATCATATACCGTGTCATCATCTTAATGTTGACTTTTAACGGCGCTCAAAAATGCCAAAACCACAAAAGAATGATTTTCACTCTACTCCAGCTTTTCATACAAACCTTGTGCCTTTTTACAAATACTCACGACATCGTAAAAATGTCTCCAAAATATAATATTCGTACTTTAACAGTCAATTGTAAGTCATGCGTGAGCATTTATGCAGTTATGCATTTATGCAGAACAACTATGCAGTTAGAGACCCTCTGGCCATTAGCGATATTGCCTGGACCCAAACAGCTTTAACATCCTATTGTTAGACGATGATTATGGCTTATTGCTTATGAATTATGTATGATATGTCCAAGGAGATCATGCTGTGTATCCTGTAGTATCTATGGCAACCAACATTCTGCGTCACTGTTTGCAAGACGTTTTGCCTTGAGTTGATACAGAATTGGTAGAAACAGAGTTGTCGGTCAGAGGGAACGTAACAAGCGGGCAGGCGAGATGTGTCGTACCGCGTGGGTTCTCGTGTTGGTGTTCGGTTTGCTGTTGGGGGTTTCTGGGCAAGGAGAGGTAGATGAGAGTTTTAGCGATGGGTCTGATAGCGATGATGGGGACGAAATGGGGGCAAGCAGCGAGAGCGACGGAGGTGACGATAGTTGGGGTGATACGGGAATGGGGGGCGATTGGGGAGCGGCGTTGGACGGCCTGAGGGACCGC